CTAAGCTCTATTCATTTCCCTTTGTGAGAGTACAATGATCAGCACACTTCCTCCCTTTATGTTTGATCTCTGATTTCTTGTCCTCTTTTGTTGCTTTTATCAATGCTCATTTCTTCCCTCTCTCCGTCTCTACTTCTCTCGCTGCAGTTTGATTTTGGCCTTTCTGGTACCTTGGGAAACCAGCTTGTTTCCATGACAATGTCTGCAGGCAGAACAGCGTATTTGTCTTAAGCTAGATAAGATCAGAGTCAGTTTCATCCCTGTCCGACACACACACACACACACACATTCAGGCATGCATGCACACAAAATATATGCATCTGCTTTCTACATTATGCACTTAGGAGGCCAGAAATGTGTACGCATGAGGACACTGTGCATCAAGGCAACAGAAATGGATCATAAAATGTATAAGCTTTCTCTCTTCTATTCCTGTACAAAGGGGCATATAATACATCTTTACCCTATATATACCTCTTTACCCTAATGTAGTGTGACGTAGCTCTAATCGGCGTGTAAACCCTAAAATAGGCGTTCTTGCTAGGTCCAGGTCAAAAACAAAGTAACTTCAGGCAGAAAGAAATAAAAGACTTGCTAAGAGAACTCCTCTTTGCATTAACAACAGTTATATACACAGAAAGGCAGGTAACATTGGCCTCACTGCTGACTCATCATTCTGTCTAATTTTCAGTAAATTAAATTAATAGCTTGTTTTCTGCAATGCTTTTAAAACAAGAGTCTTTTACTGCAGTCACTCCTTGCAAATCTTGTGGTAAATGTTAGTCCACAGACAGATCCACTAGACGACCTTTATTTGACATGTTGTGCTGCATGATACAACAAAACAGGATTCTCACTTGGCTCATAAATATTTCTAAAAAGTTTATTTCATGGTTCGTTCCCAGCACGACACAAAACATGGGGCGTATGTAATGTTGCCCAGACGTAGAGTTTTACTGATGTGTTCACTTATTAACCACTCCTTAATGTCTCATATTTTCTCTGGACCAAATATTTGGGTCCACTTAAATGAGTGTACTGTTTGTGTACGAATGTGTGTGTTGTAATTGTTTGAGAGCAAATTCACATATTGGAAAACAGCAAAGAAATGAACTTCAAATGCCAGATGGGTTACTGAAGTGAATCACAAATTGGGCCACTACCTTCCGCAGCCAATTGCTCGAACAGGTAATAGGCAACTGCAGCACAGACTCGCCTGGAGGAATATAGTGTGTGTTTGTGTGTGTACGTTTATGTTTGCCGGTGTTTGATGAGGTATCTGCTTCCCTGATGAACACCCTCCCAGCCGCCGTGAGACTGTGTCAAATGAAGGAGCCCAAGGAGAGACGCTGCGCCCCTGCTGAGAAACACCGCATTCTTATCTCCCTCCCTGTCTTCTCTAACGCGGCTGACCTTCCCTTTCCACCTCTCTTTTCCCACTTTCTGAATACGTCCCTATCTTTCTCACCATCACTTTTCTACACTCTTTTACCCTATCCCGCCCACTCCCTCTCGCTCCCTCCCCTTCACACTCGCAGCCATGCTCACTCTATCTTTCTCCTTCATCATCTGTAAATGGGAAGTCTGTTTGATGTCTTATTTTAAAGCGATTGCAGGCTACGCGGGCATTCTGTGCTCCTTATTAGCATTGCATTCAACATAATGTTAATGTTCAAACTTGCTAACAGGATTGTAATTGTATTCGATTACAAGTAAATGTATACATGAACCCATACAACACGTGTGCCACAGTGAGTAGTGTTTCTGTGTAGCCTCTTGATGTTGTGGGGGTAGAGCTCAGTATGTGGTGCTGGAGCTTCATTACAACAACTGCATGGATGTTAAGCATTAATGAGTGTTGTAGTGTAGTTTTAAAATGGGTGTTAGTAGCAGAATAGAAGCAGAATTAGCTCTATTATCAGAGGGGAGTTTTCAAGGAGAATTGTACGTTTTGCAATAAAAGTGTAATTGCTTTATCAACCGATGGTGGGTGGCTGGGGT